TTTACCCATTTAAGCTTGTTTTTAATTATTCCGTTATATATATATACAAACATTAAAAAAGGCACGTTCTGTTTCGAAGTTCTATTTCCACTCAAATGACATGATCGGAACTGTTTTTGTTGTTTACCACTTACAGGCGAATCCCGGCTCGAATCCCCGCGTTAAAGGAGTAGTTCACATTCAGAATGAACATTCTGTCATCATTTACTCACCTTCCACTTCCAAACCTGTATGAGTTTCTTTCTTCTGTTGAACACAAAAGAAGACATTTTGAAAAATGTAGTATCCGAACAGTTGATTGATGGACACCATTGACTTCCTATAGTATTTTTTTAACGGCTATTTATTTTCAAACTTTTTTACATTTTAATCTGGACTACAACATGCCCTATATATTGATATGTTGATTGAAAATATTTATATTTTTTATTATTCGGTCACACTTTACAATAAGGCTCCATTATTAGTTTATAAGTTAACATAAACTTATAAAGCATTTATTAATCTTAGTTAATTTCAACATTTAATAACTATTAAAATCAAAATTTATAACTGTATTATTTAATGGACCCAAGCTAACATTAACTAAAAGCTGTATTTTTTAAAGAATAATCACTTCTGTAACAAATGTAGCTATTGCTCATTGTTAATGTTAATGCATTAACTAGGTTATGATTTAATGCATTAACTGAGAGCTTATTGTAAGATGTTACCTATTGTTCTTTATAATTCTTTTGCACTTTTACACTTTAATCTGTTTGAAACATTTTATTTTATACATTTTTTGTGTATTTCTTTATTAGTTCTTCATGTTATATTAAAAAGTTATCAAGCCTATTATGACAACACAATTCAAATTAACACGTTAAATCGACAGCCATATTACGTTAATGCTAATACCGTGTCTAGCTAGCTATCTGAATAAACACTTTTGCAGAACATAGACAGAATCTTTACCAATTGAATATTCAATTTAAACTTCTTGGTTGGTTTTATGTTGTTAAAGTTAACTTTATGAAAAGAAATATGACTGTTTGTAAAAGGAAATTATTAAATTAGTTTTTTAATTATTATTTATTTCACATGGGTTTGAATCAGATTTGGTTAGATGGTCGTTTTACACCCAGATGGTGCATCTTACCCACTGACTGGACTCGGGGCAACTTAACCCTAACCCGGGGCAAACTGAGCCATGAGAACACTTTTTTTTCAAGCCATATTTTTTAGAACCCTTTGTCATAGATACATTCTGATCATTTAAAATAATCGGAATACTTTCATTAGGATAGGAAAAATACTTTCATTGTAGCCTACTTCTGCATCATTTTAACTTATCTTGAGGACCACATAAGTAAAAAATGGCTAAACCCCACTCTCCCCTATAAGTAGTAGACATTTAATTTAATATTTTACAGCATAAATCGATATTATATACTAATAAACAACTAATTTGGAGCATTTATTACATTTACTTTTACTTTTAAATTTAGTCATTTATTAATTTATATTATTTTTTAGGTTTAGGTTTTAGGTGGTTTTAATAAAATATGATGTGTTATAGATTACTAGTATCAAGACAAGTGATTATAATGGGAAATATACTTAATTACAAGAATTAAACACTGACTGTAATGTGGATTGTAATGCATCTACCTGTTAATGCAATGACCGTGAGAAAGCTGCGGAGCGGGCGGGAAAACACGGAGCGGATTAGCGGAATCAGCGGATCTTTAGCGGAGCGGGAACAGACCGCTTGAGCTGGGGTGATGGGGGGGATTGGTGAGAGGGGCAACTCAGCCAATGAGGGCAAAGGGGCAGTGGCTCTAGCCACCGGGCCACCCCCCTGTGCACGGCCCTGGTCCATGTAGATGAGCAAATAACCAAAGCCACTAGAAGGCAAGCCTGCAACCTTTAGCCAAAAAAGCATAATGGCTAATGCTAACGCTTCCGGTTTGCCAGTACTCGGAAAGGAGACCAGAGGACGTTTTTTTAATGGATGTCAATGGAGGAGAGGCTTCACTACGCTGAATAAACAGCTTTTTAGAGGAAACAGCTTATCATTTAATGAATCGACAGCCTATTGGCTAATCTCCAATATGTTTTACACTAAGCAATACTTTTGGATTGAACTATTTTTAGACACCAAAAAAAAATGCAGTTTTATAAGAGAAGTCACTGACTTTTTTCGACAGGTGGGATTCAGCAAAAGTTCCTATCACTCGGCGGCCATCTTTGAAATGACTCTCGGGCATACAAGTGCTGCTCCTGTCTTTTTGAATGGGGAAATATCAATTTCTCCAAAACTGTTCGCCAAGCTTAAAATTAAAAATCACCAATGAAATCTGACAATAACTGTCTCATAAATGTTGTTTCTTTTGCTCAAATAGCCTTAAAAAGCCTATTTTTCAGGCTAGACCAGCCAGTGCGCATGAGCGCATGTCTCAGAACGCTGCAGTGACGATCTTACTTTACCGATTAGCAATTGGCTCTTTTACTCAGAAGGTGGGGCTTCGTTCTATAGAGCGGCCATATTGAGCATTGCATTTTTCCCCATTCAAAACTATACGAGTGACACGTCTTGGGTATTCTATAGTCTTCAGTTTACGGCATTTCTCTATGGTATCCGTAAACGGGGATTGAGTGTCGCACAACTCTGAATGAAATTCAATGACATCAAGGCTGTAATGTGATTGGTTATTAAGGCACATGTGATCCAAATTGACTGTTAGGCTTTCTCCAATAGTAAGTAATACAGACCCTCTCATCTCCCTATAGTAAGACAATCTCTGAAATAACGCTTGCGGTGTGAAACAGGCGAACTGTTGTACATCTGCGAACAAGTGGCGTTTCTTTCTAAATTAATCAATGTTGCTGTACGAATTGGTTGAGTGAATGAATCAATGACTCACTCAAAATTCCTGACTGAATCAGTGTTGTTGAACGGTCGATTCAAATAGCTCACTCGTAAAGATAGTAGCCTACACCTACTGACATAACTATAACTGCAGAAAACCTCATTGAAAATCCCAACAATTAATACAAAAACTGACAGCCTGTTTGGAACAAACACAGACAAGTGTAGGATACAATCAATGGAACAGAACTAACTGTTGTATAATTTACACAACCTGTCTAAAATAACTAAATAGGTTTTTTAATAAGTACAGAAAAATAATGATAAACAAAAAAATGTATTAAAGTTCAAACTTATATTAAATGCAATTAGTTAACCATTAATATGCTTTTTTGAGCCACTTAGGACATAAGTACATCTTCTTTTAAGTGTACAAAAGTGTGTTATTAAACAGTCATGATATTCTTTTTAAGTACGCCTTTTATTTCATTAGTGTTTTTATCTTCAAATAAGAGCTGAAGTACACTACAAGGGCGCATTCAATACAATTAAACACACTCCTTTACACAACTTCTCTTTTTCTCTTTCAGACAGTAATGATGAGTGTGATATGTTCGTCTGCCAGTGTGACAAGACTGCAGCGGAGTGTTTTGCTCAAGCACCTTATAACGCCTCCAATAATCATCTGTCCTCGAGTGTTTGCAGCTCAGCTTCCAAAGACATCAGCAGCTTTCTCATCACTCTTACTGCATTCATCGTCACTCTCACACCACTATATAGCAACAAAATAGCCTGTAATAAGTGAAATGTGCATGTACAGAACATAATTGTGTTATTTGCTGTCATTTTGGTCATTAAAAAAAACAACACACACACTTTTGTGTGCTGACAGCTGTTTTGCAATTTCTTCCAAGTCTTATTAAATTCTCATGATTTTTTGAGAAAACTGAATTCTTGTACCAGCTGTGCAAATTGCAAACATATGCTGACGTTCCCAAAGATCAAAACACACACACACACACACACACACACACAAACGTAGATAAGTGTACATAAACACACTCAACAATCTCAGCAACTGTAAGTTTGGGCGCTTGTGTGTGTACATGTAGTGACGTGATGTGTGGCCAAGTGTGTCCCATACTCAGAATTTGTGCTCTGCATTTATCCCATCCAAGTGTGCACACACAGCAGTGAGTAGTGAACAAACACACACACACACACCCGGAGCAGTGGGCAGCCATTTTTGCTGCATCGCCCGGGGAGTAGTTGGGGCTTTGCTCAAAGGTCTCACCTCAGTCGTGGTATTGAGGGTGGAAGAGAACACTGGTCATTCACTCCCCCCACCTACAATCCCTGTTGGTATCAAGACTCGAACCCGCAACCTTTAGGTTACAAGTCCAAGACTCTCTAACCATTAGGCCATGACTGCCCCATGTATGTGCATTTGTTTGTAATTCACAAAGTTATATATATATATATATACTGTATGTTCTACTATTCAACTTCATTCATTTAACTTATAGATATATTGAATATAATTCACATCATTTATTCGTTTATTTGTTATTTTTTATTCATTTATTTGTTAGTCAGTACAATAATTGAACTAATAACTTGCTCATTACATAAAATATGTAATGAGAATGCCTTAACAGAACTTAAAGGGATACTCCAACAAAAAATAAATAAATAAATAAATTCTGTCATCATTTACCCTTTAATGTTGTTCCGAAAAAAGCTTTGTGTCTTCTGTACAACACAGAAGATATTTTGAGCATTTTTTTTTTCTCCATACAATTAAATGCAATGAGCTCCTTTTTGTGTTCTGTAGAAGTAAGAAAGTCATACAGGTTTGGAACAACATGAGGCTGTGGAATGACAGAATTTCTTTAAACAAGACCTAAAGTCGGAAAACTGTCCATGCTAAAAAGATTGTAGAGTAAAATTAGCTTTGGGAAGTGCGGAGAGTGTTGCAACACATTTTGTTTCGATGTCTGTGACTTTGTGTTATGGTTGTTTTGCTTAAACGTTCATATAATATTCCAATTGTAAACTGAAAACTACATCTTGTCCCTAAACTGTGCAAATTAATGTTAAAAAAACAGTGCTGTGACTACCAGGGTGGATTGTAATCCATGAAAACATGGATGCCCAGCCCATTTACATTTTATGTTTTGTATTTACATTTTGTACTCTGATAATCAAATTTTGATTCTCTAAATAATCATTTTAAAATACCTAAAGTAATTGGTCATAAAACTAACTGTGTTACAACAGACCTCCCTGGTCTTTACAAGGTCACAAGTATGAAACACTGGATGAAGCACAAACAAACCAGTCATATAAAACTGCTATACACCTCTCATAAATATTTTGTAAGGCAAATGGTGAATTAAAGATTTTATGAGATTAATTTTGGTCATAGTGTATGGTGCTTCTATTGACTAGTGAAGCTTGCACTATATGTGTGTGCAAAAAAAACTCATAAATATATGATAAAAATGGTTCTTATGTACTATATTCCTAAAATTTAAAATAATTTTTGGTAAGTACAGAACAGTTGTTGATTAAGATAACTGTTACATACCATTTAGATTTTATTTCATCATTAGATTGCTAATCAGTATGAAGCACTGATAAACTATCACTGTTTAACAGTGCTGGCGACTCTAGACTACCGCGCGCTGTGGCAGTTCAGGGCTATGATCCTCTGTAACATCCCTGATAGCTGGCCTGCACTGGATTATGCAGACTATGGATGCTACTGTGGAAAGGGAGGCTCAGGCACACCGGTGGATGAACTGGACAGGTCAGATTTATACCCGTTACAGAGACACTGAATGACTCATTTGAATCAGTTTTGTCAGTCACACTTCAGCCTTCTCAAGCTGAGTTTAGTGCATAGTTTATAAATGTTCAAAGCTGCATGTTGCACAATTTAATTTATTTTTGTAGGCAGTATGCATTGCAAAAAATAAAATAAAATAAAAAAATAATACTACTACAGTCAAATAGTTTTAAACCTTAACGTTTTAAGGAGATGTTTCAGAAAAATCTCGGCACAATAGTAATGTGAATATTAATTAAGTGCCTTATGAATATTAAATATGTATCAATGAACAATTTATCCATAGAAGCTAGCTACATTTTTTGTTTTTCCACAGCAGCCAAGCAACACAAATATCCTAAAATATAATAATTATTGATCAAAAGGTGAATGCGACAAACTTTCGAATCATGTCTACTGCATTCTCTATCCCTCTAGGTGCTGTGAGGTGCATGATCGGTGTTATTCTGACTCATGGCAACATGAAGACTGCTGGGGTATCTTAGACAACCCCTACACTGAAGTCTATTCATTCTCATGTGACAAAGAGGCAATGAAAGTCACCTGCAATGGTAAGATGCTACACGCAGTAGGACAGACTGTACTAAAGAAGACTATATCTACAAGCTATGTTAGTAACTGAGACCTGAACTGCATCTGGATTGTGGCACATATTTAGACTAGACTGTTGTCTTTTATTTCTTGCAGCTGACAAGAATCGGCCCTGTGAGATGTTCATCTGTGAATGTGACAGAAAAGCAGCCGAATGCTTTGCACAAGCAGGTTACAACCCAGAACACGAGCACTATCCTAGTGAAAACTGCAAATGAACTGAAACTCGATAAAGGTTTAAGACTGTCTCTCAAGTCTCATTAAAGATAGCAATGGCATATCATCTAACAGTTTATTTTTGTTCATGCCAACTTTTTTACACCAAATACACCAAATACTGTTCTTTTTAGCAGCATCATATGACCCCTTTAAACTTATTATATATTCTCTAAAAAAAGTCATATTATTCTTATCTATCTGCAATTTTTACCTTTAAAAAACTAAGATACTGATTCAGAAAATTATTGTTGTTGTTTAAACAGGTTAAGTACATTTATATGCGATTATTGACAAATAATCGTAATATAACATACTTAAAGTGTTAAAAAAAATAAAGTATTAAAAAAAAAAGTTTTAATCCTGTATGGATACTAGTCTGTCACATTTATTTTTGAAATAATAATATTTTATGTAGTACATGCACACTGTAAAAAATAATTTTCTTCAGTCTTGTTTTCTAATAAAAACATCTGAAAGTCCATAATTTCACCTGAGAAGCAAAATTTCCTTAGAAATGAATATTAAGAGAGACTTTGTCTTGAAGTAATGTTAGTTTTGTCTTACTAATTGTTTTAAGCATAACTCTAACTTAAATGTTCTGCTTTGTGCTTAAATTGTACTTAAAGTGAAATTGTGTTATTTGCTGTCATTTTGGTCATTCAAAAAAAATAAAAAAACACTTTTGTGTGCTGACAGCTGTTTTGCAACTTTTTCCAAGCCTTATGAAATTCTGCTTTTTCGAGAAAACTGAATTCTTGTACCAGCTGTGCAAATTGAAAACACATGCTGATGTTCCCAAAGATCAAAACACACACACACACACACACACACGTAGATAAGTATATGTAAATACACTCAACTTGCACAAAACTGTAACAATCCCAGCAACTGTACGTTTGGCCGCTTGTGTGTGTACATGCATGCGCATTTATTAACATATGTTACGTGTAAAATTCACAAAGTTAGCTTATCAATGTGCCCCGCCCATCAAGGTTATATAAATAAGTTATAGACCTATAAATAATTGGCCAATACCTGTTTATTCAGTCTTCACCATGAACACCTTCCTGTCTGTCGTGATCCTGAGTGTGAGTCTGCCCACCTGTGAGTATACTTAGATATGTTCTACTATTCAACTCCAGCTTATTGTTTTAATTTATTATATTTTATTATGTATGCAAAGCAAATGTTTAACATATAGAGATACTGAATATAATTTGCAAAAAAACATTTATTTATTAGTCAGTCCAATAATTGAACTATTAACTAATAAACGTACATATTTTATTAGATAAAATATGTTATGAGAATACTGTAAGGTATACTCCGTTATTATTGGTCATTAAACCTGATTGGTTAAACTGGTTGTGTTTCAACTGATCCTGTGCTCCCTGGACTCTACAAGTTCACCAGTGTACTGACCACTGGATGAAGTAGAAACAAACCAGTCATATGAAACTGCTATACACATTTCAAAAATATTTTATAAAGGTGATGATACACGGGGCAACTTTTTTGAGCAATGTTGCTTGGGCACTTTCCCATTGAGAACGGGCAACAAATTTCTATCTGGATACTTTAGATCGGCTGTGGGCCCTGTGTCTCACCTGGTTGCCCGTTGACAGCAACATTGCTCAAAAAGTTGCCCTGTGTATCATAGGCTTGAGACAGATGGTGAATTAAAAATTGTATTAGATTAATTTTGGTCATAAACATATAGTGTATGCTGCTTCTATTGAATAGTGCAGTTTGCAGTGCACTATGAATGGTGTCAGAAACAAATCAGCCAATTTAATGGTACAGTAGACCCAAAACTTAACACTCTGTCATCCTTCATCAATGCCATTTTAAACCTGTGTGACTTACCTGCATAACTGTATCTGACTATCTGTCGAACAGATTTGTTGAACAGTGGATTTTCTTCTAAAGAATATACCCTGGCCACTCCTTCCATATAATGACAAAAGCTGTCAAGATTCAAAAAGGATGCACAAAATTGTAATTATAAACTAAAAGTGGTTCATATGTACTATATTCTAAATCTTCGGAAGCATTTTGTCTTTTTTAGACAGTTTGGTAAGTACAGAACAGTTGTTGATTAAGATAGTTGTTTACATAACATTTTGATTTTATTTCATCATTAGATTGCTAATCAGTATGAAGCACTGAAGAGGCAATGAAAGTCACCTGCAATGGTAAGATGCTACACGCAGTAGGACAGACTGTACTAAAGAAGACTATATCTACAAGCTCTGTTAGTAATTGAGACCTGAACTGCATCTGGATTGTGGCACATATCTAGACTAGACTGTTGTTTTTTGTTTCTTGCAGCTGACAAGAATCGGCCCTGTGAGATGTTCATCTGTGAATGTGACAGAAAAGCAGCCGAATGCTTTGCACAAGCAGGTTACAACCCAGAACACGAGCACTATCCTAGTGAAAACTGCAAATGAACTGAAACTCGATAAAGGTTTAAGACTGTCCCTCAAGTCTCATTAAAGATAGCAATGGTATATCATCTAACAGTTTATTTTTGTTCATGCCAACCGATATTTAATTCATAGCAGACACTCTTTAATGGTATATGCAAATTCATGTGATTAAAATTCTATATTCTATATATTCTATTCTATTCTATCTACCTTGTTTAAAAAGACAGATACTGATTCAAAAAATTATTTTTGTAGCTTAAGCAGGTTACGTACATTTATATGCAATTATTGACACAGAATAGTAATATAACTTCTTATAAATTAAACAAACATACTTAAAGTATTTAAAACAAGTAAAGTATTTAAAAAAATTACTTGTAATCCTGTATGGATACTAGTCTGTAACATTTATTTTTGAAATAATATTTTATGTAGTACACACTGTAAAAATAATTTTCTTCAGTCTTGGTTTCTAATACCTGAGAAGCAAAATGTCCTTATATATTAAGAGAGACTTTATCTTGAAGTAAAGTTAATTTTGTCTTACCCCATTGGTAATTTGTTTTAAGCATAAATCTAACTTAAATGTTCTGCTTTGTGCTTAAATTTAGGGAAAAAATTCAACTTCAAATTCAAGGAATATCCTCTGACAAGTCTATTATCTACAATTTTGTTCTCAAATAATGATATCTTGTTTTAAGGAAGTTTAGATATTTTTATTGGAAAAAGAGACAAAAGCCCAGCTTAAGGAAGTGATTTAGTAAGTGATTTTGGAGGTTAGTTGATGTTTGTCAGTGGCTCTTGGGTTTGCCCTCACAGATGTAAGGGAAAGAAAGCGTACAGTCCGCATCATTCCACAGCCTGCGTCTGTCCACAGTTATCCGAGCGTGAAGCTGCCCACAATCCTCACCATTCACACGGACATCCCAGTCATCTGGTTGACCTACATCCCAGTGGCTGAAACAGACATCTGTAGTTAGATTAAACATCTTGGAGTTTTTCCCGATTGACCTCCTCTCATTATTTTATATGGGTTCTTACTGTTCAGTAGTACTATAGTCTGTTCCATCTACCCAGCTCCATTGTCCCTCTTTTTTCTCAACAAGCCCGATCCAGTAGCTCTCAGACAACTTCACGATTGAAGACAGGAAGTCCTGGTTTAAAAAGAGACAAAACTCCAACCTCAAATTAGACACCCACAAATTATTGTGATGCAGTGTGTTGCTGTCTTACAAGCTCAGCCAGGTCATTGACAACCACTAAGTGTGATCCTTTCTCCACACATTTTTTCTCAGCAATTTGCCAGCTCTTCTTTGTTAAAGACTGAAAGTAGCACGAGTCTTCATAAAACACCCAGTCTTCCTGACAGGGACCTGTACAAACACATATGATAAAAATAATTCTGAAATCAGGCAGGTTTCCAAGTCCAATATAAACAATTTGCTAAGAAGTAAAGATCAGGACATATAGTGGGATCCAAAAGTCTGAGTCCACATCGAAAATCTGGGATTCATTATTTAATTTAAACCTGGAAATAAACAGAAAGTTTTTTTTTTTTTAAATGTTAAACAATTCTTTTTTAATGTAACATGAATAAAGAGGAAGACGTTTCCGCACTATTTCTAGGTCACTAATCAAATAAGTACATCTGTGACACTGATCATGTGACTCTGATCAAGCTCAAGATGTTCTTTGGATGATTTCAAATTCTGGAGAAAATGATCATCAGGTTTGACACAAACTTGTGGAGTTCATGAGGTTCAAGTGCTGAGAAACTAAATTCAGCTGTTTACTCAAACTGTTAAGCTAATTATATATTTTGTAATGATATTTTATTATTATTAAATTACATAAATGGAAAGCTTAGTAGCATTTTCACTAGTGGTCTCAGACTTTGGACCTCACTGCAAGTCATGAGGAGCCTCACCTTGCACCGGCATCACATGCTCAGAGAAGTAAGCATTTTCTGGGAGGAAAAGATTAATAAATTAATTCGAAAAATGACGACAAAATAATATTACAGGTAGTTTTAGTATAGTTTATATATGGATACACCTACACAAAAATTTTATCTAACAAAAGACAGAAAAAATGGTCTTTACTTACCAAATTGCAGAGTTTTGGGGGCCTCAAGGGTCTTCAGAGAAAGTCTAAGATCAGTGACATCTTGGCTGACCTGAGAGACTTTGAAGAATCATAATCAAAAACAAACTCTATGGTAAAAAAATCGCATCGAGTGGGATCCAACAGGTTTTGCTAAATTTGACATCAACAAATTAGTGGGGTGGAAGAAAAGTGCAGGCAACATACTTTTAATTCCTACAGCCAGCGTCAGTATAAACACATAAAGGACAAGAGCGCCATATAGTATGTACATCTTTCTGTTCTGTCTACCTGTAGGAAAGAAGAAATAAGTTGAAATGTAAGAAAATGGAACAAACTGAAACTGCATTTTGAATTATCATGGAGTGTCAGAATCCATTTAAAGGTGGGGTGATTTCTGGTAGCCAATGTTGACATTTGAAATCACCAAAACAAACACGCCCCCACCCCAAAAGGGTCTCGCCCCTATTTTGATAGCTCCGCCCCACACATACGTACGCAACCCAGGCAACGATTAGTTCTGTGAAACAAATTAAAACCATTTAAAGGTGGGGTAAGTGATTTCTGGTAGCCAATGTTGATATTTCAAATCACCAAAATAAACACCCCCTACCCGAAAAGGGTCTCGCCCCTATTTTGATAGCTCCGCCCCACACATACGTACGCAACCCAGGCAACGATTAGTTCTGTGAAACAAATTAAAACCAATGTTGCACCGTGTCTACACCGGACGCGAGCGGCGCGTCTATAATACTATAGAACTCATTATAATCAGTGATGCTGTCTACACTGGATGCGGCGCAGCGCGGCGCTATGGTCTACACTGCATGTGGCGCGGCACGACACGACAAATCCCCGACAGAAAACTGCTGCTGCGTTCTATTCATGACGTATTGACACAAATTTCAAATGATTTTCAACGGTAGATTTGTCGCCTCTCTCCTCTGCTTCATGAGTAGACACGCCCCTTACTGCTGATTGGTTACAAGTTTGTTTTGGTACTCGGCCCGAAAAAGCGTTTTTTTAAAAATACATACCCCCACCTTTAACAAACAAGGATTTACTATGGTATTTCACCGCCTTATCTGGTTACTAGAAATGTTAGTTTTTCTTAGTAAGGTGTCGGGATTTATTCTTAATTTTGAGTTAAAATTTTCTCCAAAACAGTTTAACAATAATATACAAACATTCCTTTCATAAAATGAAAAAAATAATCTCTCACCTGATTCATGTAATAACTTTTGGCCCGTATGATTAATTTCTGCCTCAGATGTGGTAAACCGGTCATATGATACAGATTCCATGTCTGAGGAATAAAAGCAGGTTGTATTTACATCAAATTTTGGGAGTTTTGTTTCAACATCGAAATATTGAGGTGTAAATAAAGAGAGTAAATGTACTAAACGCAAGGTTTCAAGGTCATGCGACGAACAGTTGAATATTAACCTCTAGACTGACAAACTACATCTGAACTTCATCCATCACAAACATGGAGAAGAGCAAATGAAAATGTCTGTTCAGTTCAAAAACACAGAATGCCAGGACTTCTGTACATCAGAGATACTGTCAAAATACACAAAACCATATCAAAGAGACAACAAACATATTTTTGCAAGATCATTAAAATTTTTTAAACATTCTCATTACCAAATCAAATTAGGACTTTACTATGAAGCACCATACATTAAAATGCTCTCATGTGAAAAAAGAAAAAAAAAATCTAAATGTCAAGTGCAGTGAATCTTACCGTTTAAAGTGACTGTTTCTGTTGGCTCTCACTCCTTGTCTGCGGTCAGTGTCCTGATGGCTGTTCTCTGTCATTCTGTCCTTACGCAACGGCTCCTAACCATTTCCAAGAGCGGAATCAACAGTCCTAACATCCTATTGGACTATTTGTAACATTGGAACCTCACGTGTGTGAAATAGCAAAATATTATTCAGTCAAGAAATGACCGTAGTCAACTCATATACGAAATCCACTTGTTTGACCTACATGTTATACTAAGTGTTTAGATATTAATAAGTTATTTGAATACAGCTGGACACATACACTACCGTTCAAAAGAAATTTGAAAGAAACTAATACTATCCAGCAAGGATGCACTTAAAGTGACAGTAAAGACATTTAGAATGTTACAAAAGCTCTGTTGAACTTTCTATTAATAATTTTAAAAAAATACAATACATAATAAAAAACTAATACATACTTGGCATACATCATTCGTATGTTACATGTATAAATGAACAGTTGAATAATGTGTGTGTGTGTATATATATATATATATATATATATATAAATAAATAAATGCATATACATACACACACACACACACACATTATATATTATATATATATATATATATTAATTTAAGTAGACTGGTTTTGATTCATTTAAGTAGATTCACTGAAGTCCCCATCCTAACATCTACACATGCAGCTCGTCTGTCTCACCACCAGAAGTCAGCATCACCTCAAATCTAACCCTGGATTTTGATTAATTACATAACTAATTATCATTGCTTAATAATTAAACTACTGTGTCTTTGCAAGATACATTATAAATTACACTTTAATTAATTTTTTTTTTTTTTTAAGTGAGATACTCATGTTTTTACTCATATATTAAACCAGTGTGCAAAAGACTTCCCAGTTTATATAACACCTAGGACTATTATGCAGACTGGGAAACCTTTTGCACACTGGTTTAAAAGGTAATATATACAGCAATAATAATAATAATAATAATAATAACAATATCTCTTCAATTAAATTGGGCCAAAAATGAGATAAACAAATTATTAATTTTAGTGAAAATTTTACTTAATTGGATGTCTTCGTATAACAGGACTGTACACTGGAACACTATAAACAGTGACTTATGAATAGCAAAAGTACATTAAATATGCATCAGTCAGGCAAGTACAGTTTACAAACAAAAAGAGGACATCTACAAACATCTAACAATGTCAGAAGGAGCATGTCCAGAGCATGATTTTAAGAGAACAGTCTAATGCAGTTGATGTGATGGCAAAGTGTCCTACCACATGCCTTTCTCTAGTTTGCGTTCACAAATGTGATACTGTTCACTGTGACAGTCAGCATCATGCATCAGCTTTCGATGCACTGTGTCAGATCCTTTTAAGTGGGCGCAGGACTCAATATCCCAATGAGCAGGTTCATTTTCATCCCAGAAACTGAAAAGAACACAAAACACAATGAATAATTCAGAAGAAGTAATGATCTGGTTGGTATGTTATGCAGTATCACTTTTACAGATAACCTAAAACACATGCTTATAATGTATGACAATGATTTCTTACTGTGGAGTTGAATGATAATTATCTCCGTTAACCCAGAACGTCTCGGTTACGTATGTAACCCTCGTTCCCTGAAGGAGGGAACGGAGACGTCACGTCGGATGACCGACGAATTGGGATCTCGCTTAGAGGGACCAATCTACTTCGAGTGTAAACTAAACGAGCCAAT